GTTCACCCTCCTTCTAGGAAACATCTTACTTATTTAAGATCACACTTGACAATGCTCTATATTTAGGCTTAAAAATAATTAACATGAAATAAAACATTAAGCAGGCGAAAATACTTATTTGATAAGGACTGACCTTAGACATTGGTTGTGATTAAATTGTAACGCGTGTTCCATATAAAATCTCTACTAAGTGAGATTCATAAAATCATGTCAAACAGACGTTGAAAATAGCTCTTTAATGTAGCCTATGTAATGGGTAAAGTTTAGTGTACTCTAATCCCTTAAGTTATAGTGATAACGCACACGAGACACACGTTCGGTATGTAATGCTGTTTGAATACAAGAAGGGAAACAACGCCTTTGTAGCCACAAAAAAGTTTATGAAAATATTTTGAACGTTAGTAAGTGTCAACAATGGTTCAGCAAATTTTGCTCAGGTGGCTTTAGCTGCAAAAACTGTGATAGCAGGAGTCGACATGTTGGAATTGATATTGATGATCTGAAGACGCTTGTTGAGTCTAACCCAAGGCAACACGCTCGTGAAATGGCCCTGAAATTGCATGTCTCTCATGAAACAATACGTAAACATCTAAGGAATATGGGAAAACTTCATAAAGAAGGTGTTTGGGTGCCTCACGAACTCTCCGGTGATCATCGCGTGAACGTTGCTTCCTCTCTTCTGGCGCGTAATGCGCGTGAACCATTTTAGGACAGAATTGTCACTATTGATGAAAAATGGATTCTCTATGCGAATATTAAACGTCAAAAACAATGGCTCATTTCTAGACAAAAACCACTTCCGACCCCAAAACCTGTACTCCATCCGCAGAAAGTGCTAATAATATGAGTTTGTCATTCTGTTGGTCACAAACTTTTATTCCCAAATAAATACCTGATACAGCTTTACTAATAGTAAGTGTTTGACATTTATCTTTTATGATGATTACAAAAATTGAAGGATAATGAAGACGGTTTTCACTTCTTCAGTGGTAAAACAGTATGTAGTTATACAAAGACTGAGAAACAACGATTACCTCACTCAAATGAAAGTTAAGTAATTTGCTTCCTTTCAGTAAGGCTCCCCAATGGAACAGCGGTATGTCTGCAGACTTACAACCCTAGAAACCGAGTTTCGATACCTATGGTGGGCAGAGCACAGATAGCCCATTGTGTAGTTTTGTGCATAATTACAAACAAACAAACATCAATTATTTAAATTATACAAGCAATCAAAATATTGCCATAACGATTTCTCCTATTAACTCAAGTTTATTCAGCTTAATATTTTGCTGATTCAAAATAATAAAATTTTTGGTCGACTTCACACTAGAATAGTGTTGGGTACAAAACAATGACTAGTTCATACCCACAATAATCTTATGCTAGTCTAATTTTTACAAGTAACATGGAATGTACTGTTAAGTTATTGTCCCCTTTATACTAGTGATATGCAGTTAGATTCATTTCAATTTCTTGACTGATTTGCTCCTGCTCAATTTGCGAGTTGGTTCAAAATATTCAATTGTTTAGTCCACTGAAACAAAACTAATACAGCTGGACTGAAGCATTTGGTTTCAATGAGTTTTATGAATGGTAAAAATTACTATATATACTATCCAGAGTTAGTTGTTTCAGTAGTTGTGCTTCTTAAATGTTAAATGAAGAATAGATTTTAACATGTAGATGTCTATTCGATTAAATGAAAGTTAGATCAAAAATGTTTTTAAAAAAATCAAAAAGAAGCTGAAAATAGGAAAATATATCTCAAGTGAGAATAATCAACGAGTCCAACAATTAATCAATTATCACATTCCACTAACTACCTAAGTCAGAGTAGCTATCTACAATGAAAAGCTTTACACTTATGAAGACAGTTATAAATGTAAATTATTGGTAAAATATCCACTATAGATTTAATGTACTAGAAGTAAATATGTAAAAAAAAAAAACATTTATTTACAAGGTCCACCAATTACTGATATATATATATATATGCTTTCAATTATTTCTATATACAAATATATTAAACTCTACAAAAAATTGACAAATTTCTTAATTTTAACACTCAGTCTGAGACTGAATTCAGGGGATTGGATGGGTTACACAGAAGTGTTATGGTTACTGGTGTTCAAGTTAGAATAAAAAAAAATGTACTCTGATAAAAGGCTCAATCAGTTAACCTCAAAAACCATATTTTAATGTTACAACATCTCACTTTTCAAATGTTTTGCTAGGAAAATGTGGAGTTTAGGGAGTTGTCTAGACTGTGTTTCTCTTGCACAAAATTGTAGTATTATGGCAATTGGTAGGAAGAAGCCCATGGAACTGTATTACTTTCAGCTTCAGCTTGTTACAAGTTTTGTACTATACTTAGCCATCTTATAAATGCATACAAGATTAGTTGAACCTTCGTTGATCACTTCAATTAACAGAATTTTCAAAAACCACAGAGAAAACATCTTTATAGAGTTGAAGAACAACATCTTGTATTACCCATAAATGTTTAGTGTGGGATTTCATTTTGGATTATGATATTTATTCTCTCGTAGCCTAGAAACTAGTGTGAATTTGCCACTCTGGTGGGCAACTCAGATTCCAGATATTGCAAGAAGTTCAAATATCTATTCAGATGAAAAAAAAAAGAACTACTGGAAAACTTTGGGGAATCACTTACCAACATGTCTGCCTGATTTGTAGACTGAGTGCTTAAATAATCAGAACAACTGTACATTTGTAGAACAACATAGAAACAACAAGATGATAAAATGACTTGGCTCATCATAGGCACTCCTATCAAAACTTCAACTCTAAGTACAATGTAACCATATATTTACATGTATCTATATAGAATATATGCAATAAAAGTTCAAAATACTTCAAATATCAGTAATCCATTTCATAAGTTAATAGCCAACTCAAAAATATTCCTGTCATAAGAGAAGTTTCATTTAAGATGTTAAAACTTAAGCCTATTATCACTATTATTATGCAATATCATTTATAACCTTTCCATTTCACCATTGACACAGACTATCAATAGGAATCTTGTCTAAACCAATACTTCCCAAACTGTGTGCTGCAGCACATGGTGATGCTGTGGAAGGGTTTCAAGTGTGCCCCAGAATTTAGCAATTATTAAGTAATTTTTATTTAGTAATGTAAGTTTATTATCAATTTAACAGATTTTTAAAATTTAAAATTTGATTTATTTTCTCTTTGATACACAGTATAAGAGTAATTTCCGCCTGTCTTTTTTTTTTGGGGGGGGGGGACACTAGGCCTGTCGTATGGACTTATTTATATCTGCCACAAAAAATGAGACATTAAAAGTGTGCCACAAGCTAAAAAAGTTTGGAAACCACTGGTATAAACCACAACTTTAACCACCTGAATCAAATAACTTCTAGTTCTTCGATGTGAAAATTCAAAACTTTGAGGTAACTTTTCCAGCAACATAAAATGATCTAATTTGTGAATTAATCACTTGTAAGTCAACTTATACAAAGCTTTCTGAAACTCCAGATACCCACCATCTCTAATACTGTTAAAAGCAGAAATCAGAGTAATAGGCTTATATGGTGTTTGGACAAAACAATTAAGAATACCAGATTAATTTGAACTGAATAAATTGTCAAAAATATTTAAGTCTAAGAAAAAAAAGAGAAGGTGCTGCACATACAAATTATTTTTAATCATGTAGTTAGTAATTTTTTCTTTTTATACAGGTCTATTCAGTTCATATTTACAGATGTGTGTAGAAATAAAGAAAATGACCACTCATACATCCAAGTAAGTATGAAAATAGGACTTTGTATAGCAGGGGCTTCTCTTACTGAAACAATGAAAACTGCTGGTACAGTTCATGGTACATCTTTGATATGATGTCTTCATAGAAATCATCTGACAAAAAGCTCTAGCAAAAATGAAGAACCTACCTCACAGCCCAATGAAGCATTGAATATTTAGTGTTTGGCTATTCCACTGACTCTGTGTAAGAATGCATGCTAAATTATTTACAGATGATGTGAATCATAATATTCAATGTATAAGGAATATTTACTTCCCCATTCTTTACCTAGTTATCACAACTGTTTGCAGGTGATTTTTTTTGACACAATTATTATGATTTTATTTGCATTATACTCATATTCATTTCACATGTAATTATTTTATTATCATCTATAATTTACTGATTCCATTAGACTTGGAGGGATTGGCATAAATTTTTCAACAAAATCAAAGAAACAGTTGAATGGTAAACAAAGCATTTCATGATTGTTACACAATATCATAGCCATTGTAGTCACACCAGTATAACTTTATGAGTAGACTGTATAACCCTAGTATTAATACTAATGCTACACAAAATTAGGTAAGCAAACAACAAGATATTAAGATAAGGAAACTACAGCACAATGAAACAATAACTTGAGTAAGGTACTTCAATTCTAACTACATTTTACTTATTACGAGTAGTATTAGTACTACTTCTAAGTTCTACTTTCAATAACGTTATAGAAGTTATTATTGTAAGTTTTAAATCAAATCTCATGATTGAATTTCAACTATTACTATTAGCGAGTATTAAATTTGATGATGAAGAACCCACTTTGAGACTAATAATGCTTGGAGACGGCTTGAATGTTAAAAAAGCATTGGTAAACTTCGGAAACTTACGTGCAGTCTTGATTGAAGTTCACAAAAAAAACTCCACTGTTGGGGTCTCCCCCTTCTCCAGCTAAATTCATGAGGGAAGATATTCCAGTTTTGAAACCTTCGGTTAAATAATTTAAGTTACTGGCTAGGTTTTGCATAGGATGTAAAATTAAACTAAAATATCTATTTCATATCCATGTCTTGCTATTAGTTAGATTTTTCACTCCCACATATGTAAGTTAAAATAAATATAAAATTATTAATCAATGTTAACCCTACGACTGAGTAAGGTGTCAGCTGGATACATGTAACATTATTACTGCGATGCAATGTTTGCGCATGCGATGTAGGGGAATATAATTATATTTCCTTTTTATAGGTGGCGAAATAAAATTCGTTCTAATTATTTATGTGAATGTTTAAAAACTTATTAACAACAAATAATGATCATAATAACTATTATTTTTAGAGTTCATACAAATTTATTGTACACTATTACGATAAAAATAAAACATTATCTTACTTTTCCAAAGAATAAACTTTACAGCACACAAAACTTCATCACTCAATCGTTTTTTTTTTTCTACAACTGTATTTGATATTTTAATGCAATGAGTCACAATATCTATTAGAATTAGTGCTACTGTACTATTAGTACAACTGGTGAGTTGATTGTGAAAGGTAATATGTATAGACTCAGAAAACATATATTGAGGCTTATTTTAGACAGTAATTTTTCTCGTATTGCTGCAACAAGTGAAATATTAGGTCGTCAAGAAATTATATATTAAAACAAAACATTTATTAAATGAAATAGTTCCATTCTTATCGATAATGCTTTTCCATCTTACAACCAGGTGGCAATGCCCCGATTAAATAAATCACTTGGCTTTGAAGCAAAAACACGTCGTTGTCCTCTTTAACACCTTTCACATTTGCATACGTTTTCCCATTAAGATGGTTTGCACCAAACGAAAAAAGATGGTAATCTGATGGTGCCATATCTGGAGAATATGGTGGGTGAAGGAGAACTTCCCAATACAGCTCCTTGTTGCGTCAAACGTACCACATGTGGACGTGCATTGTCGTAGAGAAGAACACCTTTCCGATTGATGAGTGAAGGGCGTTTCTGATAAAGGGCTTGATTTTAAACATTCTAGTTGCTGACTGTAGATCTCTACATTGACAGTTTGCTGTGGATTGAGAAGTTACAAATGAATTTCTACTTTGATGTCCCTCCAAATGCAAAGCATCAACATCCAGTAACTTATTACGACATTTCTATAAGCAAAACGATAAATGAATGGAATTTCAACCGAATATATTTTATGTGAATAGGTTATTATAAGTATAATATATAAAATGCGTTCGTTTTCATACATTCACAAGTACCGTTGAAGGACATTCAAGAAATTTTAGTAGACATCTTATGTAACATATACGTTAAATTAACATGTCTTGTAAGGCTCGTCCTCCAGTGGCACAGCGGTATGTCTGCGGACTTACAACGCTAGAAACTGGGTTTCA